ACTAACATTAGGTAAAATACCAAAATTCGTTTTTGTGACACACGACTAGTTATTATTCATTTCTCCCTGTCAAATACTCAAATTGCGTATTTCGCAATTGCACAAACGAATAAATAATAATTTCTTGAATTGTGACATGCGGTGCTTCTGTATAACAATCGCAGAATTAAAATTTCCTACTCAATCCAAGTCCGTCGGTATCATCCAAAAAAGAACGACGTGTTCCAAGTTATATTTTTTATTTTCTTCATTTTTTCCGCCATTTTCATTTCCGTATCAAACCGAGCCGGAATTTTCTCTTCGTTCGCTGTAATATTTTATACAAGCGGTTTAAAGGGAAGGCTGAAACAGATGATCAGATAGGCGGATAGGCAGACACAGAGAGGAGCGAGAGAGAATAACCTCGCGTGTGTATGCGTGCACCTGCATGTGGCGTGACTGGTGAAAGAGATGGACACGCGTTGCCCAAGAGAACGAGAAGAGACGAACTGTCTTCATTATGCTAATGCCGTGCAACTACAGCTGACCGTGGCCAAAAATAGATGTAGATATCGTGGGATGCTGAGTCGAACCTCGAGGGGATTTTTATCCTCTCTTCACCCCGTCTTCCGCCAACCCCGTAAGCCATCATCCTCTTTCATTCTCTTCATTCGCTTGGCGTTACGCTTGTTTCTCGATTCGAAAGATTCTCTGGCGCGGCCCTGAAATGAAATGGTTCCGAGGGTGAAGATCGAATCGCTCTTCTCCTATTTCCACTTTACACCGTTGAAAATTCTTTCCCACCTCAACAGTTCCGTGTTCGCGATCTGTCTCTTCATTTTTACGCAAAAAGCCGCGCTCATTAGCCTCAGCTTTGCGAGGAACACAATGACAAAGTTTCCTTTTCAGAAAACCAATGACTGGTAACGTAACGATGCTTGTTTTTCAGGGGTCTTGTCAAAACCACCAGTTAGCATCGTTAAATGCTTCGCTTTTCAATTTACTGATGGTTATGCGAGCGATAAAAGCGGTTCGTTAAAGGAACATGATGGAATTCCGACACTGGTCCGACGGCAGCAGTCTTTCACACTTGGTACTTGGAGCAATGATTGTTGAATTCTTGCAAAACGTTTGTTCACGAGTGTACAGTATAAAGAGTCGTAACGGGACGAAGTTGCGAATATCTTTTGCACTTCTTGTATGTAGAAAGTAGTTTATACGGATGATTTTCCAGGGCTACTGTTCTGTGACGCAAAGTCTCGATAAGAGGACTTAAATGTTCTTTTATAACGATGAATTTCAGGTGTTTGAAGATGAAACTATAAACCAAGCAATGTGTAAATCCTTTTAGTATTAGATAGTTGGCTATTCGAGTTATGATAGCGAGAAATCGGTTTTCGGTATATATTTTTACACTGGTAATTTCCATTGGACTCGGTACTTTGATTCCTATTACACTATAGAGTACTTAATAGACGTTCGCAAGTTGAATTTTAGAAACTAAATGGAATACAATACGAAAATATTCGAAAATATTCTTTAGAAAAATGCATAGAGTACCAAATAAGATTCGTCGTAACAAAATTTAGAACATTTTAGGCTGCACGTATACATACTTTTGCAAGTACATATTATTCTTCCGACGGTGGAATACCGGGATACAAAGATGAAGGAATAAAATTGCCGCAATATGCGGAAATTACACTTGTTCATTGACTCGTCTAAAATTAGCTGACACTGTGCTCGCAATAGACCGAACCGCATTTCCGTTTTACATCCCGTTTACGTGGTTTGTGGTCACGTTGATACCGTTGTTACGGAGGAAACGCGTGGCTGCATTAACAATCTTCCTTCGTTATCTTTTCGCTAAATTGCGAGGAGGTTGCACGATATTACACCGTGCTGTGTCCATAAAACAATACTGTAAAAGTGGCGCAGTGGCTTAGCATGCGAACATTAACGTAAACCGAATCACGCTCGCGCAGTTATCCACTAGTTATTCACGCGCAGCGTGAAGCGACGCCGGTGCCATCTATCCGGCGTGGCGGACGAAGAAGGAAGAAAGAAGAGGGAAAAAAATATTTGCCAGACTTTAACGGCGTTGTTCTTGGCATTTTACCGGCAGTGCTCTCAATATTTCACGAAGGTTATATACAATCGGGTATGCAAATAAATTTCGCCACGTGATGGTACCTCAAATAGGGCCCCCTCGTATTTCCGGTAACGCGGTGTCACACGAAGGCAGAAAGGAGCGACGGACACCGGTATGAAAAAGATGGTAGCGGACTGGTTGTAAAGGAAAAAAGGAAGAGAAGCTAGAGTAATGTAGCGAGTCAGCAGTTTTTGTTAAAAATTTATTCGGTTCAGTTTCATGAGAAATATCACCTCGTACCCCCTCGACGTTCCGTATCACACCTCAGCGGCTGCCGCCGACCCCACTCTCAGCCTCGCGTTCCACAGCCCACCCTCCATTCGCCGTTCTTCTATCTCTTCTCTTTCTTACTTTTATGTACACGTACGTACCTGACTTGCCACGATATACCGCCGCTGGAACGGGCTATTCATTTTTCAACGCTACGGAATTATTCGATACGCGTTGCTTGCTCCGCAACGATTTCGACAGGATTAAACGTAGGAACTGCGCTATCGAAAATTACGTTCCAGGCAGCGGCTAACTATCGACGCGTTGCGCCGCTCATACGATGTATTATTTTTCTTTCATACGCGATGAATATCCAGATAACGTGTTTCGGTGCAACACGTTGAATTTCGGCACTTTGGAAACGGTAAATACATTTATGTGTTGGAAGCAGAATGCTCGGCTTATCAGAGTCAGCGAGGCGAGAATGGTGTGCTTCCGCTTCCGCTGTTGGTATCGGGAATCCCTGAAGAAAGAGTTTCGAACCGGAGGTAGCCATAACGTTCGAAGAACTTAATCGACGTTTTCGTTCTAACGACTAGAAAAATACTTTGAAAATTATCATTTTTGTTATTAGGCGAGATTCTATTCCTACGCGTGTATTTATTCGTCGTACGAGACTGGTTTAATGATTAAAATAATTCTTACTGCGGCAGTTGGTTCCTTTTTAGGCAACGAAATGGCCGAATGAAAATATAAAACGAAAGTGAGCCGAAGAACGAATCGTAACAATGGGTCGTGATAAGTTTGTATACGTAGAGTGTACGTACAATGTACGGGCAGAGATATTCGTGCAAACGATATGCACGGTCCTTCTATATCAGACACCGGGATCTTTTCCCGCTGCGAACCGTAGCACACAGAGGCCATCGGCGTCGGTATAAAGAATTTTCTACGGATCTCATTCGTTGCCTCCCTCGCACACTGTCACTTTACCTCCTTCCTTGCTGTACGCCAGGGGAACGAGATTAAGCAGGTGTACAGTATGCGCCAGAAGTTCCTTTACCTTTCTTTCCGCCTCGAATGTCTGATTACGCTGTTCCCCGATTGGATTTTTATGTAGCGCCAATGGGAAATCAAGCGTGACGCGTGAAAGTGTTTTCGAAGCGATTCACGCAGCCGATCGTCACGCGAAAGACGCGAAATCGAGGAAAGAGATCGGGTATGCATCACGGAGATTTTTCGCGGGCACCTATGTACCGTGTACACACCTTTACACGTCGCGTAAATGTACAAATGATATGCAGTAGTCCAAGTATATCGTACCTAAGGATCTTTGCTCGTGCGCCGTGGCACATGCAAAAACCATCGGCATCGAATATAAAGAATTTTCCTTCGGATCTCACTACCCTTTACCTTCTTTGCTCGATCGTTCTCTTGCTCCGTCTTTTTTCTTGCGCGCGAGCGCATTGAGAAACAAGATTACGCCGATGTATAGTACACGCGTTGGAAGTTCTGTTTCCTAGAGGCAGAACGAGAAGAGAAGAGACGAGCGCAGAAAAAGCAAGAAAGAGAGATTGACTAACCCTCTTCCACCCGCGGCGAGCGTGATAGTCAGCGGGCGATGCGCGACCAAACCTAACCTAACTCCGTTGCCGGTTCTCCAGCAGGGTAAGCAGGCTGGGTCGCCAGGCGGCATAGGAGAAAAAGAGACAGACTAATGAAGAGTGTGGGTGGTGGGGACTAGATCGGCGCATGCGCGCCAACGACGCTTATTGAGCCATGGAGAGGGGCGGTTGGTGCCTCATCGTCGGCGGCGGTGGCGGCGGCAGCGGCAGCGGCGGCGGTGGTGGCGGTGACGGCGACGTGGCATGGTATACGGCCGCATGGGTGCAGCGAGGAGCGAGACGGGTAGCTTATATTATGCGGGGGAGGGGATCCTGGCTCCGCGTAGTCGGGGAAAGGAGAGAAAAGGAAGATAAACGATAGTGGAACAGAGATGGACAGAGAAAGAGAGAGGGAGTGAACGCGCGCGTATGTGTGCGAGCGCGCGTGTGTAGCAGAGGCAGAACGAGACGGTGTGTGTCACGAAAGTTCGTATGTACGATCAAGCGAGACGGAGCCCAGAGATTCAACGAAGATAGGACGAGAATGATAAAGCGAGGGGATACGAGAAAGGGAGTGGAATAGAGAGCGAGCGAGAGAGAGCGAGAAAGTACGAGGGGGTCCGAATTAGCGAGAGGGTGCATAGTTGTGCGATAGATGGTAGAAAGAGAGAAAACGTAAAGCCACTGCACATTAGACGAAGAAGGAGAGAGACATAAAACGTTGAACGGAGAAGGGACGAACCGACGGTCGTTTGTGTGAATCGTGCGAGACCGTAGGTGTGATTAAGCGAGACAGACGGAGGGGAATGTAAAAGAACGAATGAAATAGAACGAGAGAACGCTGGAGAGAAGGAAAAAGAGGGAGCGAGAGAAGCAGGAGAAATAGGTTCCAGTGTACGTGTGGTAGGATAAAGAGCGAGAAAGGTAGAAGGCGGGCAAGTAGTAGAAGAGGAGTGGCGGGACAAACGAGGTGGGGGTGAAAGGGGAAGGAAAGAGGGAAGAGGGGAGGGGGGAGGGGTGAGGGGGCGCTGGCATCGGACAGTCGGTGTCGCGCCAGGCCCCCGCTAGCGGCTAGCCAAGCAAGCAGCAAGCAGTCGCAATTCCGTCGCCTAACCAGCATTGCTCGCCTTACCTTTTCACCCTCTTACAAAATCGCATCGAGGCTTCCGTCAGCTGCATATATTTGCCCCGTTCCATCAGCCGGTCCCTCCGACGTCGTCCGTCGTTGTTCGTCGTCGCCATTGCCGCCGCCACCGCCGCCGTCGCCGCTGCTGCTACTGCCGTCGTCATCGTCGCACACGCAGTACGTCGTCGTTATTGCTCTCGCAATCGTCGTCTAGTCGCGCGTGGTTTTTAGCAGCGGTTGTATTAAAGGGAAAGCGCGAGCGAATATAAAAACGGAGTCCTTGTGATCGAGTAAGCTGATTATGAGTTGGAACAGTGCAGCAGTTCAGCACGCATCCGGGCCAGCGTTGTTAAAGTGAGAACAAGTTTTCGTGGTTTTGTGTCGCGATCCGGCTGATCGACCGGAACTGTAAAGTGAGAGTAGCAAAAGGAAAGTATTTTTTTCGCCGTTTCTCCTTGTCCTTAGTGAGAAAGAGAGCAAGTGCAGCGTCTAAAGGGAACGGCTACTAAAGCGAAGCTCGTATGTCACACGTCGAAAGAACAAGCCGTGTCATCGTTGAAATAAGTGCTGACAAATAAGATATATATCTACTTTTGTGTGTTGTTCGTTACTACAGTGAGAAGTTGCAAGCTTTGAAGAATCAGCGAAGGCTCACCGACCGCCTAACCTGTCACGGTGACCGACATCACGGCGAGATCGCGGCTGATACCTCCGCGTGTTCCGGCGCAAGGTAGTACAGAGCTCTCTATTTTACGATACATATGTATGTGTACGCGTACATCTATATATGTTCGTATACGTGCAGCTATAGAGCAATAAGTCGTACACGCCATTGCCCACGCGTGGGCGCTGTGCTGTATGCATTTGGACATATATTACAGTTTACGTCGTCATACCGATGACGTCATCGTTTCCGTAATTGCGTTTTTACGCCGTTGCTGAAACGACGATGTACCATTCTCCTTTACGCTGTTGTTCATGAGCTGCGTAGAGTATTTTACGAAATTCATTTTACACGTTCCTCATCCGAGTCTTCATTCCGCTTATCGTGTGTGTCGTCCATTTGTTCGAATCGCGGCCACATTTTTTTTTACGTTTCTGCTCGGTGAAGCTCGGCAGCTGATCCATCGTTCCATATTGTACGTGTTTTTCTACGCCATACGGCGCCCGATGTTGTCGTACCGGACATAACCTCTAGTCGTCCGTTCGTTTGTCGTTATCGAAATCGTTCATCTTAATGCGCGCGCGTTATCGCTGTTTTCTTCATGACCATCGCAACGCTGTAAAAAATGCGGGCAAGTATGGTGTCGTAGTTGGCTCTTGCTCTTCTACACGCCAAACGATTGACATCTTGACCTGTCACGTTCTTGTTCGAGCATAAACCACTCATTGACAGCAATCGGCGTGAAGTTCCATTGTAAGAGTGCCTCGCGGAATATGTACGTGGGATCGAAGCCGTGTAATCCACGTTACGTGTGCAAATGTGCGTCCACCGATTAACCACGTGTCATTAAATTCTTGTTTCCTCGCGCGATAGAGAACTCGTTCTTACGACGCTAACGGTTTCTAACGCGGTCATTTTTATTTCGTCGCGCATGCGCAGAACCACTCCGTTTCTTTCGTCGTTATTTCGGATTCTATATTTTCGCCGGTTTCGTCGCGAAGATAGCGTATAATTTAATGACCCGCCATTCGTGATCCACGGCAAAAGTGCTCGACGATATAATTCCCGTGAAGTTTTCCTTCCGCAGGCAAAAATATACCGTGGACGTAGACGGGTCTGAAGCTCGCTGTGCCTCTAGGGCTCGTGGTTACTGATGTAGATGCATCACCTGTACCGGGCACGTTCCTAAAACAAGATAATATGATGCGTGAGAAGAGCACTCGCGAAACTCGTTACTTTAGAGTGTTAGCTGGCGGCTGTGATAAATATCGTGACTCCTATTTTTTCGCAAACGGTGAAACGGTGTTTGACCATTTCCCACGGTTCCTTCGTCGTGTCGCACTCGTTTCCGTTAGAATTCGTTTTCCAAACGTATCCTACGTCTCTGTAGACTTTTCTCAGGGCTCTGACAAACGTGGACTACTAATTGAGCGATAGAAACATTGTAAACATGTTTTGAGAATATTTCGATGGCTGAATTGACGGATGTAGTGACCATTGCGCAGTTAAGAAGTTTCGTGAATTATTTTCCCAGGCATAGGCTTTTCAGTGTAATTTTAGGAAGTTGTGCAAGACACTTAGATTCTTCTATCCCTTCGAATTCCTGCGGCAGCAGGTATGCGAGCTGTTATCTGCAATCTTAATCTTATTTTTTCGAGGTGTCAGAGTTTCAAAAATTGCATTATTTTCTTTTCAAAAGTGTTTCATCGCTCCAGAGTTCAGTTTTTAATATCGGAAATAATTTCATAAATGTCACGCTGTCGAATGTACATACGTTTGATCTCAAACGCGAAATTTTATTTCTCAATCGTTTTTGAGTGAACTTGTGTATTTAATTATTTAATTTTTAATTTCGGAAGTAAAATATCGTACTCTTCATTATTTTTAATTATGGCTTAGGTAATTGTGACGTACCATGTCGAATAGCATCTAATGATATTATATTTTGCTTCATAGTTTCTGGATACAGCTTTTTTCTTTTCAAAGCTTGAAGGTGTTCCAAAAATTTTGTTGATATTGTAGTTGGATATTATCTGCATTGGTTTTCGTGATGCTTTGTTTCAGACAGCTTTTCCCTTAATCGTGCCATTATATCGTCTAATAATAGTAAACGCAGTTATGTTGATTGTTATCATTGAAAATCATTTATGCAAGTTGGAAAATTTTCCAACCGAAGAATGTGCATTGTTTCGTACTTATTTGTTCGTGTTGATCCTTTATTCGCTTTAAGTACTTCAGTAAGAAACTAATCACGATACGAAACGATTATTACAGTATTATGCTGTGTGTAGGTGAATGGAAATTATAACTGTTTATACGTAGTGAAGGTTATGGTCTCAAACTTACGCACAGTGTATTGTATGCTACTGTATGATTATTGTTCAGCTACAAGATAGCTATTGGATTTGAGAAGAATCAACTTCTTTGTTGCCCTTGAGTCACATGTATTTCCATTTATCCACCCATTTCTTAGCTAAATATTTTCACAAAAGTTACCATAATCTCTCACATACATTTTGGAGTAAATAGCAATAACAAATTCCCATTTTGAGCCATTTTGAGCTTGTCCACAAATACTTGTTTAAAATATTTCAGTAAATTTAAGAAACAAAGTTGAAGAATCCACAATTGGAGTTCTCAAATGAAACTGTTCCAAATATTGCAGTAAATTTTGCAGCGAATTAGGCTATTTTCTTGAATGTAGCAAACAATTCAAATATCATTTTCAACGGTACACAAAAAAGTTATGATAATTGCACAATTTCATAAAACAGATATGAAAGCTCCAATTTGCCAAAAATTAATTTCTGATAATATTTCAAACCAAGCATCATTCAAATAAAGCAGTAGGTCCTTATGTTGCTTTCCGAGTGCAATTTGCACTAGGCTGTTAGGCTATTCGAATAAGCTAATAGGTTCCTGTACGGTTTTCCAAGTGCAAATGGTAAAAACTTTCGTATGCTCAAGTCTCTTCTCCCAAATCGAATAAAATATTCGTAGCTCTAGCAGTGCGAGGGCTAATTAACCAAGTGCATGAAGGCTAGATGGACGATATTCTCGTAATGCGCCGCAATGGGAGGCTAATTTCTGCTTGGCGTGTGGACGTCGAACGAATTGACGCGTGAATGTGTGGAGTGCATCCTACACGTGTCGGTGTGCGATGTCTAACGCATCGAATTACAGTACCTTCGTGGGCGTGTCCCACTAACATTCCGACCTCGGTGTCTTTTATCCTATTGAGTCTTACTATACTGCTCCATGCCGTGAACCCTTTTTAAAACGCGGTGTCCTTGTTTACGACGACCACAGGAAGTCACACCTATGGCGGTGCCGCGTAGGCCGCATGCATGCCAGAGGATCGTTGCAGATCAAAACGAGCGGACGAGTAATAGGATGCAAACTGCTCAGCGCTTATGGCTGAAACAATCGCTGCGTCGTTCCTTTACGTTCGCGCTCCTGGTTTCTAGGCTAGGAATGTTTGGTTGCTTGCGCGAATCGTCAAAAGACGTTGGAGATACGTAATAGTTATGGTATTTGATGATTTGGCTAAAAGCAGAAATTGGAGCTGGGTAGAAATCGTTCCAGTTTTACACCGTGGCTCAGGAGTATTAGAGTGCTTGGCTGTTGTACGTTTGATAATTCTAAACGTCTGTTGCAGTTGAGTTTTTGGGAATAACACTGTGCCTGGTGGAAGATACTGATGTTGGGAAAGTGTGGCTGAAATTGGAAAAGAGTTTGATTAGGCTTTTGAAATTTGTGGAATATTGAATTACGTAATTCCGTGAGAACGCTTGCGTCTTGTAGCGTTGACGAATGTCTGTTGGATTCGAATTTTGGGAAATAAGATTTTACCTAGTGTAAGATACGAGTATCGAGAACATGTGGGCGAAATTAGAGAAAATTCTGATAAGGAATACGGAATTTATGTGACATTAAGCGTAGATATATAGTTATTCGTGAAAATATGTAGACTTGAGTTTTAAACGCTTGATAAATGTATGTTGGATTTAAATCTTGGGAAGGATGTTGTATCTGATGCAAGATAAGGGTGTTGAAAACGTGTAGATAAAATTGAAACAAGTTTTGATGAGAAATATGGAATCCGTGGAGAACTTGAATGTGGACATACAGAATAGCTCATGAAATTATCACCCCAATTTTATAATTTTAATAAACTCATGTAGGATTTGAATTTTTGAAAATGATACTAACCTGGTGCAAGATATAAGGATGGACAACGTGTGAGTGAAATTAGAAAAAATTCTGAAAATAAATACAGAGTTTGTGAAGAATTGAATGTGGATATATGAAAATATTTAGATATTTTAACTTTTGAACTTTGAACAAATAAAATGCGTACATTGGACTCTAATTTCTAAAATGATACTGTTCCTAGAGTCAGATATAAATGTTAAGAGTGTATGGGTAATATATAATAGAAAAAAAATCTGACAATACTAAAAGTATTTTGGAATATTGAATGTGAACATACCTTTTACGACAGCAACAGATATTCAAATGCTTCAATAATTTCTGAATTAGTTCATGTTTTGCTATTAATTGTAGTGCTTATCTTTTCTATTTTTTCATAATTTTCCTTATACTAGTATCATTTTCACCACTAGTATCTTATCTCAAATATAGTACTATTTTCAAAATCTAAATCCAGTACACTTGCATGCCAATATTTCCTTCAGCATCTGTATCTGAAAAAATTGGAAATTATTATCATTATTTAGTAACTAGAATTATCGACAGTGGAGTGTATTATTTTCAATCACATTAATTACAGTGATAGGCTCATGACAAAAATACGAAATAAATTAACTTTAATTCATGTCATTTTTATAAGAAATTATGCACCAGTCACTGCAATTCCTTTGCTGGCTCTCCCGATTCGCACGAAATAAATAAATGCGCGATTAGGAATTTTCAAATTGAATTTTCGTTTACCTTGATAGTTGACTTGGCATACTCCTTTGCAGCGTAGGAATTTTATCTTTGTTACGTTTGCATTATCTGTGTTGTGCACAGTGATTATAGCACTCGCCCATAAATTTATAAGC